TTAATGATTCTATTCCACCATTTCTTCGATATTAGTGTAACTCTTGTATTTCTTGATTCACTTAGTTTCTTTTACCTGCACTTAAGGCACACAAGAGTGCCTTTTGGGCAGTTGCAGATGCCCCAGGTAAACCCATTTTTTGGGCAGGATTCACTCATTCCACGAGGAATTTCACGCTCAAATAAATCCAGATTCTACACACACACACACACACACACACACACACACACACACACACACCAAAAAATCACAATAAATGTTTTAACACATACCATATAATTTAATGTATAGAAAAAACTTAAGATTTCATAAAATTTTAAAATAAAAAATCTAGAAACTCGGATCTGGGTTTAAAAACCCAGCACTGGCAAGCCTGATACACATGCACACACTTAGCATCAGTCCTCTATGCACATATTTCCTATGAGAAAGCGTAACAGAACATTTTATTCTATCTTGTTCCTAGCACTGATTTAGTCATACTGCATTGACTTTTAAAAAACATATGTCTCATTATTTCTTTCAGCAACCAACTCGGGCTATAATAATTTTTTAAACTGAAAGAACCTGTACATCTCAATTTATATGGCAAAAATTCAAAACTTCTAGTGACATTCAATCATTTGGTTAATACTTTCTGAATGTTAGGTAATAAATTTCCCCTGAATATCATATGACTTTATTTGTTCAATAATTTAACAATCTAAGCATTAGGTGCAGATGGTTCCTTTATTCCCAATGGTGACCACTTTTAATGTATTGTAATTAACATTAAGCAAATCCTCCTTAGAAAAAAAGGATCTTCCTATTGATTTATGGAAGCCTACTTAATTGGGAAGACTGAATTACATTTTTGTTTGTTTGCATAAAATATTGCAAGTGCTTATATTTCTCTGTGACAGGTGAAAAGCACTTAACGAGTTATGTTATTTATTGAAGTTATTAAACTGGAACAAACAAATACACATGTAACTAGGGCTACTATAACTATGTACTTTTTAATATTATGGTGCCATCTAACTTCAATTTCTGAAATCAAATTCTGTCAATTTATACTTTTGCGTATAGAGTTTCCCACAGAGGATTGATGACAATTATGACATATTTTGCACCGAAAAGGGAGAATATGAACCTCTAACGTTGTCTATGATATCGTTAGATCTTAAAATAGTCTTGCTGTTGTATTGTTATGATGAGTGCTTTGGTCTCCCAATTTAAATGTGCAAAATCCCCACAAGCTCTTGCATTAAAGTGATGGAAGTGAAACTACATTCAGAAATAAAGCAAGCAAATCACCAGTTTTATGACTGAAGGTGTCATTGCTCAGAAATTGTCAAGGACCCATCACTGATCTATGTAGGCTAATGAGATAAAATCCAAATATCTCTTTCAGCTGCTGTAAAAGTCTGGAAGGTTTTAAATTTGATCAATTCTTAATGCTGAACTACCAAGACCAAGGCTGTGATTATATGGCACCCTGGGGTTGAGGACATAGCAACTGTTGATCTTGGATGGAGCAGCATTTCCCAATTTGAGATATTTGGAAGTCCTTTTGAATTAACAGTTATTCTCAAACAGCAGATGGCAGGTGTGGCCCGGAGGACCGTCTCTACATAACTTTATATTGTGTATTTTCCTCATTCCAAAGGCTCTTCGTGCAATTATTAATACCCTTTTTGCCTCATACACTACACTGAGGACCACCCAGAAGCTAGAGTTGCTTTAGATGTGGTTGTTAGCAGCCAAACTATGTCAATTTTCAAAAATATTTTTACAAATAATGGCTAAGTGAAATATTTGATCCCATTCATTGCATCAGAGCTAGACCTTGCTTAATGATCATTTGTTCAGCAACCATTTGAAGTTACAATGCTGAATGAATGGTCATTGCATCCTTAAAACAAAATGAAAGGAAACAAAACAATGTTGGGGAAGAAAAAAACAATTTTTATTTAACCATGAATGGTCCTGGTCACTGTTCCAACAGAAGTTCTGCATTAGTAAGCATTAATTCTCAATATTCTACAAAGCACTTCAGTTCATATTCTTGCTAGCAAGATGTATTTCTGTTCATCTTAACTTTTTCTGTTGTCCATACAGAATTACAATACATTAGTTTGTTGGTTATGGATTGCTCTAATTTTTGTCTTCCATTCATGTTAGATCATGTACACAAAGTTTATTCTAAAGAGATTATTTAGGGGGGGAAATCCACTTTGACATCTTGCTTTTCCTCTAGGAGTTTAGTACAGTTTACATGGGAAGTGTTGAGTCCTCGGCTTAATGGCAAATGAGCACAGAACATCTTGTGGTTCCAACAAGTCTTTTATTGCAGTCTCTTCTACTCCGTTACAGCTGAGGCTCGCAGGCCTCTCTGCCTCTTTTAACAACATTCCCCGGGCAGAATGGCAACAATTAGGCGCGCTCCGCGCCTTGCGCATGCGCGCGAAGCCGGCACCAGCCAGCCTGGTCCCGGGCAGCTTGCAACTGCCCGGGACCATTGCAACCTCCCGAGCCTGCCTTTGCAGGCTCAGGACACAACAGGAAGCTCCTTTTAACTCCACAAAAACAATTCTGAGAGAGATATATTTATTTAAACTGATTTACATGGCTGCCCATCTCAGAAAATGTGACTTTGAGTGGCTGAGAACAATTAAAAAATACAATGTAAGCACAACGTAAAAATACATTCAACTAAATCACAAAGTGGCCTCAAAGTGGCAACAATATCTTCAAGGTTTTCTGAAAGATAAGCAGAAATGGGCCAACTTGATCTTCAGTGGTGTGGTGTCCAGAAGGCAGCTACAGAAAAAATGTGGAAAAGATTGGCCTAAGAGACAGTAAGTAACTCAAAGTCACCCAGTAAGACTCCATAGTTGGGGATAGATTTGGTCTTGGTTAACTACTACACATATAATATAGAGTTGTGAGATGTACATCTATTGAACAGTGAGACTGGCTGAAAATATATAAAAAAAATCAGAAATATACATTTTATTGCGTGCCATTTTCAAGATGGTAATGATTTAGAGATTTAAATACACACACACATTCTTTTTCCTTGATGACAGATATGTCAGTAGCACTCCTAAAATTGTTATACATTAGTTGATCCTTTTGCACAATTTTTAATAACATATTTAACAGATATAGAAGGGGTGGTAGTTATACTTTTTATTGCTGGTGTTTAATCCTGTTTCTAACCATCAAAATCACTTTTTCCAGCTGTTTTCTCTAGAAAAGGTTCAGAAATTGGTTGATGCTAACAGAAGATTTAAGCATTAAATCTCTAACAGCAAGAGATTTAAGCATTAAAGATAAAGCAATCTCAAAATAGTATGTCTGAAAAATATATAGCAATATCATGTTTTATTGAATAAATGTAGATTTTTTATTAAAAATGCAGCAGATAAATGTAACATGGGATGAATTATCTGTCAGCATGCATATACTTGAATTTTGCATTTTTATAAAATGGCACTTTATAAAGATTATGTGATTTACCTTTCCAAGCAGAAAAAATAGGCTTTCTGAAGGACTTTTAGGTACAGAAGCCTGATTTACAGAAATTAGGAAATACATGTATGATTATCTCTCAGTGTGTAACCAGTGTGGCAGTGGTTAAGATATTGTATTAGAGTTAAGATTGAAGTCCACTTTCAACCATGGAAGTGAGTCACTTTTTTACCTAATATACAGTAGCTCACAAAGTTAAAACTGGAGAGAAACCATCATCTCCATGACCTTTAGCTCCTAAGTAGGCTGACTTTTCTCCACTTTCCAGTCCAAGCAAGTGCTGCCACCTATTAAAATACGGCAGAAATATTTAAGATTTAATTTTTTAAACAGCTACTGTGAATATACATTAATTTTTAGGATCATTCTTGGCTAAAGCAAGACAAGACTATTCATATCTCTTTCTAATCTGCCACTAGAAATAGTTTGTTTTTTTAGTTTTGGGGAACGAAAACAGCAAAATTAAATGGGATAACTAGAAGCACCACTGGTTGCCTGGCAGCCGAGGAAAGATTTGCATGGAATCTTGGAGAATTAAGCTGCTTTCTAGAGCAAAAGGCCAGGAAAACGGAACTCCAGCAAGTGTCTGTACTAACCAAGGTAAATTTACAGGTCGAACGTGGTTTAGTCAATAGCTCCATAAAAGCACAGAGTGATTTGTAGCGTCAAGATGGCCACAATCAGCAGGCTTCTGCTCAGCCTTCTCCCAAATTTTAGTTCTAGTTTAATGTAAAGAAGGACTAGGGGTGACATGATAGCAGCGTTCCAATATCTCGGGCTCAACCTCTTCTCCAAAGCACTTGAAGGTAGAACAAGAAACAATGGATGGAAACTAATCAAGGAGAGAAGCAGCCTGGAATTGAGAAATTTCCTTACAGAACATTTACAGGTAATCCTTGACTTACAACACTTCATTTAGTGACCGTTCAAAGTAACAACAGCACTGAAAAAAGTGACTTATGACTGTTTTTCACACTTACGATCAAAATTCAGATGCTTGGCAATTGACACATTTATGACAGGCTCATGTGATCCCCTTTTGCGACCTTCTGACAAGCAAATTCAATGGGAAGCCAGATTCAGTTAACTTAGTTACTAACTTAACAACTGCAGTGATTCACTGCAAGAAAAATGGGGCAAAATTCACTTAACAGCAGAAATTTTGATCGTAAGTCTAGGACTACCTGTAAGCAGTGGAAAGAGTTGCCTTCAGAAGTTGTGGATGCTCCAACACTGGAGGTTAAGAAGAGATCCTTCAACCACTTGTCTGAAATGGTATAGGGTTTTCTGCTTGAGCAGGGGGTTGGGCGAGAAGAACTTCAAAGTCCCTTCCAACTCTGTTATTTTGTAAATTCCAAGTCTGCATCCCGCGCCCCGCCGTCTGATTGCTGTCGGGCATCCCTTCCCTTCCTCTCGGGTACAGGATGAGTAAATCCGCCACGTGGTCGCCTTAACTCCTCCTGGAGACTCCAGGAGCCGGGAACCCAAGACCTACCAATCTCCCCGCCCTTCCTCTCAGCGCCTGGAGGATTATGCCTCAGAGCGGGCCGCTGACGCTCGAGCAGGCACAGGGAGGGACTTACCTGCTGTGGCTGTTGTCGGGAACGGCGCTTCTCCCGCCTGCCGCCTCTCTCTCTTCCCCCGAAGGCGGCTTCGAGTTGCGCATCCTGGAATCCACGTAAGCGAGCCAATCGAGGGGGGCTTCTTGTTTCGCCTCGAAAGCAAAACTTTCAGCTGTCCAAACAGGCGGGTTCTTATTATCAGGTCAGTTGAGACACGCGTCGAGGGTGGGCTCTAGTGGCGAGGACACCACGGAAGGAAGAGCGGAATCGCCTCACAAACCGCCAGGTATCCCCTTTGGTCCTTCCAGAGCGAATGGGTGGGAGCGAGCACATTCGTCGCTCTTCGCAAACATGTGGTTTCCGAGAGAAGAGTTCCTTCGTAGATCAGGGGTCTCCAACATGAAGTCATGTGGACTTCAACTTCCCAGAATTCCCCAGCCAGCTTTGAAGTTCACAAGTTTTGCTGGCTGGGGAATTCTGGGAAGTCCACAAATCTTCAAGTTGCGAAGGTTGGAGACCCCGGTCGTTAGACCGTAATGCGTGGGGCTGAGAGGGATATGGAGGAGAAAAGGGTGTGGGGACCGCCTGATGGAGGAGGGCTTGTCGTGCTACCCTGATGGCTGGGTCTTCAACGGGCACCCCTAACCCTCCGGGCTCTCCATGGTCATCTTCCTCTACCCAGATGCCCCTAAAGCAGGGGTCTCCAATCTTGCCAATCTCAAGTCTTGTGGAGTTCAATTCCCAGAATTAGCTGGCTGGGGAATTCTGGGAGTTGAAGTCCACATGTCTTAAAGTTACCTCCTGCCATAAATTCTTTCTGAGGCTTGTTGCTTAACCAGAAGTACTCCCCCCGCCCTCCTTTGTAAATTGTCAGCATACTTGGGAAAGCAGAGGCGGAACGCAATAAGCATTACAACTGAATTGGGCCGACTTCGGCAATAGCTGATTCAAAGCAACCTCTTCGCTGTTTTCCTTTCCTCTCTCCCTCCCTTCGTGCGCGTCTTGTTCTCCCGAAACAAGGCCGGAAAACCGTGAGCCTAATCCGCTCTCATTTGGAGACGGATGGCGTCGCGCTGCTGGAAAAGAGGCGAACGCGGAAATGAGCTCTTCCTTCGTTATGGAGGCATATTAAAGCTAGCCTGGTTTATACAGATTGCTACCGATCATGAAAGTACTGTTACACTTTCAAATATGTTGGACTACTGATCTCTTCCCGTTGCGCTTTTAAAAGAATTAAGAGTTGGCTGAGCTATTGGAACTTCATTTCTAGGAAGCTCAGTGGCATCCACCCGTGACTCTCGATTCGTATATTATTTAGGTCACCAGCTAATAACTCGAATGTAAGGTTCTTTATCTTTAAAAGGAGAAAAGGATTTCCTCTTACACTGGTGCCTGTCTTTCCCTTATCAAAGCTCTATTTGGAAATGACAATTGTTTTTTATTTGCATATTATTCAAAAACACTTATTGGAAGACTTCATATTCTTTAACCATGATATACTGGACTACGAATTAGCCAAAGCTATTTTAATATAGCAGTAATGCGGACCATATAGCTAGCTTGTGTGGATCTGGAAAATTAAGTAAAATATATAATATTGGATCAGTGTGTCAAATGATCACATTTGATGGATGATGCATTTTTTTTCTAAATTCACAGTAATTTAAAATCTATGAAAAGAAATATCTCTGATTTTGGATAAAATATTCATAACAGCTACCTCACATTTTATGGGTAGAATACATGCAGACTACGTGTATTTTCTTCCTTGGTAGATATAGGCCAATAGTGGGAAAATTTGCCCTGAAAGATATAATATTGGGCTCCCCAAATGGTCACAGCTCTTTTCTCCATCTGACTTTTGTAATTTTTAAGGGTACTTTTAATTATGTTTTCAATTACATTTACCTGTTTTGAAGTTTTTTAATGTAGGCATTTGTTACTTGAATTTTTATTTTGTAAGAAAATTCTGCAAACCGCACCCATAATCCTGTTTCCTCTGATATGATACTTCTTAGATACATTGTTAGTTATTTTTGTAAAGGCAATTTAAGAGCATAAATGAATATTTTTCATTTTTGGTCATAGGGCAGTAAAAATAACATTTTTGTAATGAAATAACATTAAGAATTACAACCATTTTAGTAATAACTGTGGAATCTATGAGATACCTAAAAGAGAGCCAGTTTGATGTAATAGTTAAGGTCCTGTCTTAGAAACTAGGAGACTGTGAGTTCTAGTTCCACCTTCAACATAAAAGCCAGTGGGAAGACTTTGGGCTGATCATACTCTCTAAGTTGTGGGAAAAAAGAAAGATGAAGGAGTATAATGTATATTTTCTGCCATGAGTTACTTATAAAGTAATAAAGCTGGGATAAAAATCTAATAAATATACAAATTAAAAACTGGCATACTAATGCAATATATATTAAAACAAAAGGCTTCTTGGTCTTGGGCTAAGATCAAATGTAATTAAAGACTATAAAATTACTTTGCTTGTCTGTTGGGAGTCTTGGGGTAAATGGAGAAGGGATTATAAGATTTCTGATTCTTACTATACTTGCAAGCTGCTTCCTCATGCTTTGCTGCATGTCCTTCAGCCCACTTTAAAGCAATAAGCCCCTTGATAGGAAGTAACTGTGTCCTTTGGATTTTGAAAATATAAGTTTCTTCCCTTCCCTTTTATCTGTTGGTAACATTAACTTTTAGCAAATTCCTTGAAAAAAAATGGAGCAAAAGACTGTCATATGATTTAGCACTTTGTACTGCTTTGTAACCAAAGCTGAAACCTCTGACATAATAGGCACACTGAACTTGGTAGGACATTTGATGAACATTCTTTCTTTATATTGTAAATTTATCTCTATTGTGGTTGGGATAACACTGGGCGGATGAGGCAGTTTTTAGGCATCCTGTTTACTCCTCTGGGCATGTATTGTCTTGCATCAGCTACTTATGCTAGCTTAGTTTTATAGTAGGTAAAATATTGCCAAGTCTTGTGGGAAGAACATATGAACCAAGCACATCTTTCTTCCCCCATATTACAATACTTCTCTAGCTTCTTTTATCAGTCGTACTAATCTTATCCAATATGACGCTCAATATATGGGATTACTCAAAACTCATCATTCTTTGCTGTGGACCGAGACTTCTAGAAGGTACAGAGTTAGTCAACACTGCCTTAGATTGCTACCACACTGTATAATATTATGATGCCATAACTTGGACATTGTACTATTGCAACTTGGAACAACAGCAGTATAAATGATTTATTGCAATACTATCTTCTGTTGAGCAGGCATAGTTCAAAGACAGAATGTCATTGTCTTATTAAATTGAAATTAAATACAAAGATTGATACTTGAATACAAGAAGGATTTAAGATGAAGACATTTAAAAGTGAATTTGTTAGGAATATTAACTAATAATATTTATATATTTAGCACACTTCCTTTCCCTAAATCTCTTATAGTTAATGTTTGTGTTACTGTAAGTGCCTTCTCTGCAATGGTGCTTTCCCTGTGGGATAGCTTCCTTCTCCCTAAACCATGCTGGCTCAGGAATTCTGGGAGTTGAAGTCCACAAATCATAAAAGAGCCAAGGTTGCCTACCCCTGCCCTAAACCTTTGATGGTCCTGGCCCTGTTGGAAGGCCTTAAAAACCTGGTTTAAATCAAGGGGGTTAATGGAGCTTGGGTTGAGAAATTGATTACTTTTTCCATTGTGTTTTTTATTGTTCTTTTTACTGTTTTATATGTATGTTTTTGGTCTTATAACTTGTTAACTTCCCAGAGTTACTTGCTTAATATGACCAGCCACATAAATTTTCAGAATAGAAAATTGCTAAATAGAAGTAAAATTCCAAAATAAATTGAGCACAGATAGAGTCTGATTCTTGTCACGATATGAAACATAAACAGTTGGAGTTAAGATAATTCAATCTCTGTTTACATTTCTTATAATTATGTCAGTCCTATTGGGAATACTGCTACATGTACTTACTGGGCCTAAACAACAGTGTTTTATCATCCTTAGCAACAAAGCATTTAAAATACTCTGTTGCTAGCAAACTGGTTTATTTCTTAATGGATTTCTGATGTAATGCAGGAGAGTTTTTAAAAAGCAGTTTTTATTACAAAATAGAACAAATGGTACATGAGTTTTGACTACTGATATTTACATGCTTGGAATGGAACAGAAAGATAACTTTAAGCAATATTAGTTCTATAGAGGGAGTCCACAACTTATGACCACAATTGAGCCCAAAATTGCCATTGTTAAGCAAGATAGTTGGTAAATGAGTTTTGCCCCATTTTATGTCTTTTCTTGCCATAGTTATTGAATCAATCACTGCAATTGTTACATTAGTAACATGGCTATTAAGTGAATCTGGCTTCCCCATTGACTGCTTGTCAGAAGGTCACAAAAGGTAATTCCATGACCTCCATGATACTGCACTGTCATAAATATGAGTCAGTTGCCAAGTATCTGAATTTTGATCAGGTGACTATAGGGATGTTGCAATAGTTGTAAATGTGAAAAATGGTGATAATGCGATTGATTTTATTTTAAACAACGTGCCTTCAACAAAATTCTACATAGCAAAATTCTTTCTTATTGGAAATCTAGCTAATCCTATCAGTATAAATTGTTTCATACCATCCTGACAGATATGTTTATTTATTATATTTTTATCCCATCGTTACTACCTTATAAGTAATTCAAGGTGGTGAACATACATAATACTTCTTCCTCCTATTTTTCTCACAACAACAATCTTGTTAGGTGGGTGTGACTGAGAGAGAGTGACTGGCCCAAGGTCATTCAGCCAGCTGTTACACCTAAGGTATGACTAGAACTCACAGTTTCCTGGTTTATGGGCCAGCATCTTAACCACTATACAAAACTGCCTCTCACAAAACAGATATATAAACATGGAGAAGTTTGTGAAGACATACACAAAGGTCATATATATGCTGGTTGGGTTTATTAGGAATGTCAAGAGACTTGATAGTTGTCTTACGTATCAATGCTATGGTTGGATTTCTAGATGAATGTATTTTAATAGCCATTGGTATCAGACTGGATAAAGCAGGACAACCGCTAATTCTTTTTTCTTGATAGCTGTCCTGAAGGAGACCCGACTAGGAAACCATTGCCATGTACGTCCTACAGTACTGTACTGTTTTTATTGGAAAGCTATAGTAACAGAATGTTGGACGTTTGAATGGGCTTTTTCCTTCCCTCTCTTCCTTTATCGTTGAGTGTCAACCTTGCCAAGTAGACCAGACAAGAAATATGACCAGATGCGCTAATACTACTTTACAGGTAGTCCTAAATTTATGACCAAAGACAGTTGTTAAGTGAGTTTTGCCCCATTTTATGACTTTTCTTGCCATAGTTGTTAAGTGAATCACTGCAGCTGTTAGCAAGTAACAATGGTTGTTAAACAAATCTGGCTTCCCTGTTGACTTTGCTTGTCAGAAGCTTGCAAAAAAAGGCTCACATGACCGAGGGACACTACAACTGTAATAACTATGAATCAGTTGCCAAGTATCTGAATTCTGATCATGTGATCACTGGGATGCTGCAACAGTTGTAAATGTGAAAAATGGTCAGAGGTCACTTTTGCAGTGCTATTGTAATTTTGAGCGGTCACTAAATGAATTATTATAAGCCAAGGACTCCCTGTATTGTAAGGCTACATTAACAGAATCTTGCAGGTCTCAACCATTTCCCTCTCTCAGTATCCAGTGCAGACTATGCTATCTCTTACCTGACTTCTCCCTAAATAGTGTCACAGGACCCCGTTTCTCACAATCATTCTCACATACCCTGACAATGTCCCTCCAGATTCACACCCCATCAGTTCCCAGGGGAAATTTATTGTGGCCTCTGAGAACAAAGTGTAGCTGTGTTGTTTCCCTCTTCTACTGGTAACTCTCCAGGATCCCACAAGATGTCCTGTAAAGTCACCTTTGGTGTGTGATCAGTGGAAATGCCACTGGCTAACCTGCCATAAACATTTTACACAGAGCAGCGAATGTTCAGAATTGATTCAAACTTTTCTAGCAAGCTCCCATATATACATAGGAGCATTGGCTGAGCCATCATCTATTATGCTGGGGCAAATTCTGCCTCAGCTGTTCTTTTAGTTGTTTCATGACATTCTGCAAATTAATCACATTCATACTAGCAAACCTGCTAAAAATTGGTAGTTTCTTGAAATAAATAAATGGAATAACAATATTAACATTTTTCTACCAGGATTTGAGCCAATGGCACTCTGCACTCTGCCAGGTGAATGTTACAGCCACCATACTATAGGTAGTCCTCAACTTCCAACAGCATCCCCGTGGTCACCTGATCAAAATTCAGGCATTTGGCAACTGATTCCTATTTATGACGGTGCAGTGTCATGGGGTCATGTAAATCGCCTTTTGCGATCTTCTGACAAGCAAAGTCAATGGGGAAGCCAGAGTCACTTAACAACCATGTTACTAATTTAACAACTGTAGTGAGTCACTTAACAACTGTGGCAAGAAAAATCGTAAAAAGGGGCACAATTCACTTAACAAATGGGTTAAATAGGTTAGCAACAGAAATTTTGGACTCAATTGTGGTCGTAAGTCAAAGACTACCTGTGTTAAGAGAGTCCTATGATAATTGCCTATATATGTATAGTTTGATGCTTGCTCTTTCTCTCTCTCTCACACACATACACTCACACACACACATATATTTGTTTAATCTAAATAAATTTAACTTGTCTTTGTATGCTTATATTTTTATATGGTTATACATTTATACGATAAAGGGTCAGGATAGCAGCATTGTTTTTTAAGCACTGGGCAAATTTCTGCTGAAGCATCTAAGTCTGGATAACATTTTCTTAAGTTTGCTTAGAATCCAATGAGCCTGGGACAATAGCATCTTAAAGTTGCAGTGCTGATACAGGTAGTCTTTGATTTATGACCATTCATTTAACAAATGTTCATAGTAACAATGATTCTGAAAACATGATCACCATTTACATCCTTGCCAGAGAGCTTCCAATCAGCCGGGTCGATGAGGGACGCTGGATTTGCTTAACAATTGTGTAATTTGCTTAATGACCTTGGCAAAAGTCATAAAGTCAGCCACAACTCATTTAACAATTGTATTGCTTAGCAACAGAAGTTTCAGTCCCAACTGGGGTTTAAGTCAAAGACGACCTATTAGTACATAGATATGATCAGTACATAGTACATAGATATGATCACTGTGTAATATTATGATGCCATAACTTGGACATTGTACTATTGCAACTTGGAACAACAGCAGTATAAATGATTTATTGCAATACTATCTTCTGTTGAGCAGGTATAGTTCAAAGACAGAATGTTATTGTCTTATTAAATTGAAATTGAATACAAAGATTGATACTTGAATATCATATTTGTGTTGTTTCCTTTGATAGCCATTATTACTAACCCATTTGGCTTGAAGACAGAAACCTTTAATAAAGGAACACAAAGTTTATCTATGCTAAATTTCTGGAACTGATATCAGAGATGGTGTAATAATCATAATAGTTTGTTGTGTATATTCTACATATTTGTTAATAAAATTTTAATTTGTGTTCTTAGGGGGCACTTTAGAGTGTATGAAACAGCCCAAAGCTTTATGCTGTAACTAGATTAGTAGATGGCACTGGAAAGAATTAGCTGTTTTCATTGTATTGTATTGTAAGGATGTGAACATAACTGTCAAAAAGAAGTTAAATTTTTTATTAAAGTTAATTTGCAATTGAAACTGCATTAAGAATTGTATTGTATTTCCAAAGAATAGTTTATATAATTCTAATTATAACATGTACAGTCATTTATGATACCACGGTACAATATCATTAATAAAGTAATGATACTATATCCCCACTTTGAACTACAGTATAGGTGAGAATGAGATGCTGTCAATTAGCTCTTCAGATACTGGAGGCTGTAAGACTCTGGTTGAGGGAGAACAGATTAAAGCTGAACCTAATAAGATGAGTTACTGTTTATACACTAAGATTCATTGTCAGCTCCATGTTATTTCTGGATGGTCAGGCACTTTGAAAGAACAAATCTAGGGCATCTTCTTGGACTCACCGCTCCTCCTCAAACAGCAGAAGGAAGCCAAGGCTAAAGAGAACTTTGTCTGACTTCATCTGGTCCAGCTGGTAGGGGAAGACCTAGCTATAGTGATTCACATCCTTATTATATGTTTGGATTACTGTGACCTACTTTACAGGTGACTTTGCTTGAAGAATATTTGGAAATTACAACTGATCCAGAATGTGACTCGCTTACTTACCATCTCTTCACATTAGAAGCATTTAACCCCAATTCTGTGGACTCTGAATTGATTACTGGTAAGTTTACTTATCCTTGTAAGCTGCCTGGAGTCAGAGAGTGAATTCGGCGGCCATATAAATTTTCTTAAATAAATAAAATACTAGTATAATTTAAGGTATTGGTATTGATCTGTAAAGTTCTTCTTGGCTTGGCTCTTGGCTAGGACTGTAGGACTGCCTTTTTTCAATTACATCAGCCCTATTTATCAGATACCATAAGGAAGAACTATTAGTGATTCCACACTTCCACAGGTGTGGGGTGCTGAAACTAGATGATGCTGGTTCTCTATAGTAATATTGGCTTTTCAGTGGAGATCAGGCTCACATTTCCTTACTATCCTTTAGGAAACTACTAGAAAACCTGTGACCTGTTGGTTCATTGTTTCAGAGATATTTTCTTACCTAAACAGAACAACAGAATTATCAGAGGTGTGCGAACAAGTCAGTGGTAGTGGCTTCTGTTTTCCTGTTGGCTTCCCTATTGAATTTACTTAGGGAAAACTTGCAGAAAGCATTGGAGATCTTCCTTCCTTCCTTCCTTCCTTCCTTCCTTCCTTCCTTCCTTCCTTCCTTCCTTCCTTCCTTCCTTCCTTCCTTCCTTCCTTCCTCTCTCCCTCCCTCCCTCCCTTCTGCCAGCAAGCAGGTAGATCGCACCTAGAGCTTTGATCTTTGGAATCACCTAGTAAGTTTTTTCCATCAATCACAGTTGGTAATTATGCTGCTGCAAGATAAACGTTGTGAAACATTTATGAAGGTTGAAAAATTCTTAGTAGTAGATATGATCATCCATGGGTTTGTTCTACAAATCAGCAAAGACAATGTTTTTGTTTTTCTATCCACTCACCTTTTAATTTGTTGGGTATCCAATCTGTGTATAGAGTATTGGCACCCTCCCTACCATTCTTTATTCTCTGCCAGTTTTAATTTATCTACATCATATTGTCTTTTGCTATGCATTGAACATTGCCACTTATACTGTTTTGCATTAATTAAATGTAAATTTACTGTTATTTTTGAACTATGGCTGTTACTGTGTTATTTTATTTATTTGTTTTTTATTCCACCTTTATTACTTTTAAGTAACTCAAGGCAGTCAACATACTTAACACTGCTTTATCCTCCTATTTTCCCCACAACAATAATCCTGGGAGGTGGGTTGGGCTGAGAGCGAGTGACTGGCCCCAAGTCACCCAGCTGGCTTTCATGTCTAGCGTCTTAACCACTACAATAAACTGGTTCTTAATTAAGCACAAAGTTGTATTCAATTCCTCCCTTCCCATCAAAACTGAATTTGAAGTTTGTGATGTGTTTTGTACTATTAAAATAAGCAGAAAATCTTTGTTATATATATATATATATATAAAAAATCTATTTTTTTTCCTTATAGGAATTGATATTACTGTAGGTAAATGTTGCAAAGCTTACTAAACTGGATTTATAGCACAAAAGTGCTGACCTTAAATTGTATACTAACTTATGTAAAAATACTTTTGTTTGCTTCAAAACAAAATAAAAAGGCAATTGGAAAAGTGAGGCAACCACTTTCAGCCCTACAAAAGTGGACTGCATTGAAAAACAATGCCAAATAGGTGGGGACTACTTTGATTGTAAAAGCTATAGTAACAAAATAGTAACAAATCTGAATGTGTGTCTCCCTCCCTCCTTCCCTCCATCTTCATGTGAACTAGGGTGGAGCTTGATGAGACATTTTAATTTCTTAAGCTATCTTCTTCACTGGCTCAAATCTCATTGCCTTGGTAGTGGCTGGTCCAGTGGTGGGATTCAGCCGGTTCGTACCACTTCGGCAGAACCAGTAGCTAATTTTTTGTTGCCCAGGCCCAGGTTGGACTTCCGGAAGCAGCATCCACACAGAGAACCGGTTGTTCACATATTTGAATCCCACGACTGGGCTGGTCCTTCTGTCCTACAAGGCTACTACCTATGTTCTCTGTAGTCACTGACAAGGTTGCATAGCATGTATTTTTTTAACAACTTGTTTTGAGATTTTACTCTCTAGCAGAGTTGTATTTATTTTATGGTATGATGTACAAATTTAGCTCTAATTGTTCCTACATTTCCTCTTTAAAATATTATGCTGTTACTCATCTTTACTGAGATAAATAAAAAAGTTGTTGATTAATTTTTAATTATCTAAGAATTCATATCTTGCACTAATTAGTTATGGTTTATAGACAAACCAAAATTGGTTTGATTCATCACTCTTAAATATAATCAGTAAATGTTATATTGTTTAATGCTTTGTATAAACCATATCTTAACAGTTCTAAATACAGTTTTTATTGATTTTTTTCAAGGCAAACTGATTTCACAGCACATACAGCATGACTGCTGCTGTTTTAGGAATATAGCTTAATTGAAACTTGATTACAATTATGTATAAGAAAGGAAAGAAAAACATTGTTTCTTATTCCAAAGAGAAATGAACAGCATTTTAAATGAGTCATTCTGATCTGGTAGAAAATGTCAAAAAGCAAATTGTTATGCTGTCACATAGGAGCATTTGGTTAATAGTTCCCAATTGTAGCAAAGAGTGTGACACTAAAAAGCTCATAAATCATTTTAAAGACTTATCAGCAGCAAAACAAGTACAATACTGATAAATACAGGAGTGCTTTAGAAAAAGGCTGCAATATTATATGTTTATCATATGATGATGGTGCAGAGAGATACTTTGCATGAGGTTTATTTTAAAACATTATATACTTGCTTTTCTTATGATATCTTGTTGATGAAATTTGCCTTCTCGCTTTCCTTCTCAGCCTTAAGTTTTAACATAATTGTCTTATTCTACTTTTTATGGTTGTATTTAAGAAATATGTAAATTTGTATAAATGCTGACAATTTTATTGATGGGTGCTGTACAAAATTATTAACTATAAATATTGTATTTTATTTCTAAGGATAGAATTATTTTGTTCTAGGGTTGCTCTTTCAGGCTTTCATTAAAGCGTGTAAAAGATTTGTTGCAATTTGGATGTTACTGTTCATATTTGTAAAGCAGTATCTCAGTGATAATGTAAAGTTATATAGATGCTATCAAAAATTGGCATGGTTCATAGTTATAAAATTATAAACAGGATAGTTCGGTATATGCTTCTGTTACCCTGATAGTATAGGACTGCATATTTTGTTTTCCAAAAGCTAAACAGTTTGATGAGATTTAAACCATCTGTACACTAGATTAAATTGTTCAAGGTTTATGGGAATATTTTCAGATGGACTATAAAAACTACGAACCAGAACAGATTATTCTGTACATAGGAAGAAGAAAAACAACCAGATTTACCATTTTTTATTATATAAAGAAATGTATTATTGAAGTCTTCATATGATAATTTTTGAGAGATAAATTCCCATCTTATTCTTCCAATAGAATTCCTGCCTGATGTGTGTACTGTAGTTTTCATTATTTAGCATGAAGGAGATCAGTAATTGTAAATTATTATCTGAAAATTGGTTTAATAATTATTGATGCTTATCGGTTATCATGGGCAAGTAATATGCATAAATCTTTCTTGTTTTCCTTTACCATAAAAGCCCCTTCTTAACTATAATAACACTGAAGTAATAAAGCTTACATGGCCATGACATGAACCAAGGTGATACAAGTCTATGACATGAATTAGAATTGCATCATAATAGGAGGCATATCTTCCCTGTCATGAGGCCTGTTTTGTGAAAGAGCCTCTCCCCAAAATCCAGAAGCCCTGATCCTGCCTGATTTTTGGAAGATCATGAAGGCCAGGCTTTTCTCCCAGGACTTGGGGCCATGATATTAATGGTGCTCTGGTGTGAGTGTGGATGTGTCTGGATACAGTATGTCATCATAGAGATTTAGGTGTCTTAACCTAAATTCTTTTAATTGTTTGCACATTTGGATTCTGTTTTTATATTTGCTTGTGCCCACAGTCCTTCTGGTAGAAGGTATCTATATACATTTCTTTAAGAAATAAATAGAAATAAAAATCATCATACAAAAATGTAGGTGGACAAGCTTTACATCACAATATGTATTTAGTCACATACCTCTTGCCCTCCATGGACAACTATGATCAGTATGCAGTTTAAAGTAGATTTAGTTTGTACATGAACTCCAATATACAGATGAATGTGGTATTTTATTATATAGACATTCATTTTCAAACAGAGAAAAGAAGGAGAACCGCTGTTAATGAAAAGCAGACTTGTTCTAGTGTGGTTCTCACACAATTCACTAACCAAAATTAGCAGATTACTCTTGGGTCACTTTCTATTCAGTGATAACAAAATTTGGATGAAACCTTTTAGGAAATTTTATTTGTTAGGATAGAATTTGTATTTTAAAAAAGTACAGGTGAAACTCGAAAAATTAGAATATCGTGCAAAAGTTCATTTATTTCAGTAATGCAACTTAAAAGGTGAAACTAATATATGAGATAGACTCATTACATGCAAAGCAAGATAGTTCAAGCCGTGATGTGTCATAATTGAGATGATTATGGCTTACAGCTCATGAAAACCCCAAATCCACAATCTCAGAATATTGTGAAAAGGTTCAATATTCTAGGCTCAAAGTGTCCCACTCTAATCAGCTAATTAAGCCATAACACCTGCAAAGAGTTCCTGAGCCATTAAATGGTCTCTCAGTCAGGTTCAGTAGGAATCACAATCATGGGAAAGACTGCTGACCTGACAGTTGTGCAGAAAACCATCATTGACACCCTCAATAAGGAGGGAAAGCCTCAAAAGGTAATTGCAAACAAAGTTGGATGTTCCCAAAGTGCTGTATCAAAGCACATTAATAGAAAGTTATGTGGAAGGGAAAAGTGTGGAAGAAAAAGGTGCACAAGCAGCAGGGATGACAGCAGCCTGTCAGGAAAAGGCCATTCAAAAGTGTTGGGGACTTTCACAAGGAGTGGACAGGCTGGAGTCAGTGCATCAAGAGCCACCACACACAGACGGATCCTGAACATGGGCTTCAAATGTTGTATTCCTCTTGACAAGCTATTCCTGAACAA